TTCTTTTTCTATCTCGGGTACAAAGACCGGCGTAAAGTCAGCCACAAAGTCTGCCAAGATTTGAGACTTGATGGCGGTTCGGGGTCGATACTCAATATCGTACCTACTGATTTCTACGACCCATTTGGCTAATCGACCTCAAAGCTCGGGTTTGTGCAAAATATTTCGAAGAGGATAAGTTGTTATAACACATATCGGATACCACTGGAAATATGGTTTTAGTTTCCTAGTGGCGCTTATTAAAGCAAGCGCTAATTTTTCTAAGTATGGATATCTAGTTTCGGCCTCGCCTAAGGTCCCATTGACATAATAAATAGGGAATTGCGTACCTTGTTCTTCTCGGGCCAAGATTCCACTTACAGCTATCTTCGAGACTGCTAAGTACAAGTAAAGATGTTCGTCTACTTTTGGGGTGTGAAGCAGCGGCGGGCTCGATAAATACCGTTTTAGTTCCTCCAAGGCCTGTTGGCATCTTGGGGTCCATGCAAAATATCTCTTCTTTTTAAGCAGTGAGAAAAATTGGTGGCTCCAATTTGAGGATCTCGAATGAATCTTCCTAGGGCGGCTATCCGTCCCGCTAGCCTCTGCACGACTATTACATTATCCACCACCATGATATCCTCGATAACTTTGATTTTATCGGGGTTGATCTCGATTCCCCTATTGGACACCATGAAACCAAGAAACTTGCCCGAGCCAACCCCGAATGCACATTTTTCGGGGTTCAGCTTCATATTGTACTTCCTCAGTATATCGAAAGTTTCCTACAAATATTTTAAATGGTCCTCTGCTGGCAGGGAATTAACTAACTTATCATCAATATAAACTTCCATTGATTTTCCTATTTGTTTTTCAAACATTCGGTTTACTAGGCATTGATAAGTTGCACCAGCATTTTTTAGACCGAATATCATTACGTTATAACAGTAGGTACCGTACCTAGTGATAAACGAGGTCTTTTTCTGGTCCTTCGGGTTCATCTGTATCTGGTTGTACCCGGAGTAGGCATCGAGAAAACTTAGAGTCTCGTGGCCAGCCGTGGCATCGATCATACGATCGATGTTAGGCAAAGGAAAATAATCCTTGGGGCATGCTTTATTCAGGTTTTTATAATCTATACACATTCTGAGTTTATTTCCCTTCTTGGGGACTACCACCATGTTTGCTAACCATTCATGGTATTTTACTTCTTGAATGGATCCTATTTTGAGAAGTTTGGTTACCTCGTCCTTGATGAAGGTATGTTTGACTTCGGACTGGGGCCTTCTTTTTTGTTTTACCGAATTGAATTTCGGATCCAAGCTTAGTTTATGAGTGGTGATTGCCGGTGGGATCCCTGTCATGTCAAGATGGGACCAAGCGAAACAGTTCATGTTAGTTATAAGAAATTGAACAAGCTTTATCTGAGCTCGGGACTTAACCCCATGCCCAGGTATACCTTTCGTTCGGGCAGATGTTCAATTAGTGTGATTTAATCCAGTTCTTTGATTGTTGATTTGGTAGCGTCTGAATCATCGGGGACCACGAAGGATCGATGGATCCCACAATCATCATTTTCGTCGGTCATCTGCTTTTCTAGTTGGGTTGAGGCAGACGCTTGTGATTGCTACTTGGTATCACCTTTTTCCTTCGAATTAGATCCCTTTGTCGATGAGAGTGACGATATCGGAATCACTTCATCAATGGCGAATATTTCCTTTGTGGCTGGTTGCTCTCCGTAGATTGTTTTGATTTGATATGGTGTTGGGAGTTTTAGAACCTGGTGAAGGGTCGAGGGTACTGCTCTCATGTTGTGGATCCATGGCCTTCCGAACAGGGCGTTATATCTCATGTCATCTTCGATCACGTGGAACTTCGTTTCTTGGATAGTCCCGACCACGTTAACTGGCAGAATTATCTTACCCTTAGTAGTTTCACATTACATATTGAATCCGTTTAACACCAGGGTTGCTGGCACGACATGGTCTTGTAGTCCGAGTTGCTCTACGACCCTAGATCGAATGATGTTGGCCGAACTACTTGGATCAATTAACATACGCTTAACTTGAGTTTAATTCACAAGTACAAATATTACTAGTGCATCGCTATGGGGTTGCATGATTCCTTCTGCTTCTTCATCATTAAAGGACAAGGTTGCTTTTGGTATGTAATCTTGAGCTCGAGATCGCTTCTCTCTTATAATCGACACCTTAGTGTGTTTGAGTACTGGCTCCTGGGGCACATTGATTCCTCCGATGATCATGTGGATAATGTGTTGTGGCTCTTCCTGTTCGTTTTGTCTATTGAACTATCTATTTTGAAATGATTCTTGGCGTGGTCACTTAAAAACTCTCGAAGGTGCCCTTCATTGAACAACCGGGCTATCTCTTCTCTCAACTACCTGCAATCTTCCATTCTGTGGCCATGGGTGCCATGATATTTGCACATTTGATTGGGGTTTCTCTGAGCTGGATCGGTCTGCAGAGGTCGATGCCATTTAATATCTTTGATGCATCCGATAGCTGATATGATGGAGGGATGGAAGATGCATCAATGTTGAAGTTATACTCCAATAACTGTGGTGCTTCCTTAGGTCCGGTATGCCTGTCAGATCCGTTCTTGTTCATCGGCCCTCGAGACCCTTAGCCTCGATCACCTCTCCTTTCACCTCGTACGGAGTTGCGTCCTGGTTCGCTGCCCCTGCGATCTCTATTATACGGCCGATATTGGTCCCTGTTCGACCTCGGTTCTCGGTCGATGTCTCTTTTAATAACAGACTCAGAAAGGGCCCCCAACTAGTCTTCTTCGACTCTAATCTTCGATTGATATCGATTATGTACATCAGCCAAGGTAACAGTCGAGTACTCAATCAAGTTCTGCTTCAACTGCTATGAAGCCATTGAGTTTCGTTCGTTTAATCCTTGGGTGAAAGCTTGAACGGCCCAATCATCCGTGACTGGTGGTAGTTCCATTCGTTCCATTTGGAAACGAGATACGAACTCCCTTAGCATCTTGTAATCTTTTTGCCTCAACTTGAAAAGATCCGACTTCTTGGTCTCAACCTTTATGGCTCCGGCATGTGCTTTTACAAAAGAATCTGCAAGCATGGCAAAAGAATCGATAGAGTTAGGTTATAAATTATGATACCATATCATTTCTCCCTTTGACAGGGTTTCCTCGAATTTCTACATTCATACGGATTCGATCTCGTCGTCCTCTAGATCGTTTCCTTTAATAGCATATGTGTAAGAGGTGACACGTTCGTTGTGGTCGGTCGTTCCATTATATTTAGAAATTTCGGGCATGCGAAACTTCTTGGGGATCGGTTTGGGAGTTGCGCTTGGGGGGGGGGGGGTTTTNACGAACTTTTTGGAATCCAAACCCTTCAATATTGGTGGTGCCCCCGGGATCTGATCAACCTTGGAGTTATAAGTTTATACTTTTTTGTCATTTGCTTCAATCCTCTTTTATCCCGACTCTATCCGTTTAGTCAGTTCCTCGAGCATCTTTATAATTTCGGGGTTAATCCTCGATTCTTATTCGTTTGACCTTACCACAGCTGACCCAGTTCTGTGGGTGACTTCTTGGAGTGGGCCGGGCTCAGGCCTGCTCGGTGCCTGGTTTGGCTCTGCAACTGAGCTATCGCTACCTGTTGAGCTTGCAACATTTCGAAAATCATACGCAGGTTGATCCCATCTTCTCCAATATTTTGTGTATTTCGAGCTACAGATCGAGTTCCACCACGAATGCTGTTTTCGGGGTCGGAATGTTGGTTCGCTTCAATGGCCACATGCAAATTAACGTCAATTGGATCTACGGCCCGAGTTTCAACGGGGTCAACGAGTGGCCTTTCATTCACGGGCATCAGGTTGTTATTCTCATCTTGATGGCCATCTTCGTTGTCGATAGGTAGGGCCATTAATTGAGAGTTCGTTATTTTCAACCTGAAACCAAAGATACTTCCAGAGACAAGTGTAAAATAGTGTGTTTTACAGAGATTTGTAACAAATAACTATTATTTTCCTACCACGGTGGGCGCCAAACTCTTTACCCGAAAAATGGATAGAGTTGAATTTATATGTAGTTCTAAAGATACGTGGCATAACTCGATACAAATCAGGAAAAAAAAAATATTGAGATTAGTTGTAAAAGAAATAAAATCAAACCAAATGGGTCGGTTAGCCCGAGCTTTCCAATATTATCACCTCTAAATTGAGTGAAGAACGATTGGTTGAGGACGCAATACGACTAAAATATCAAGAGCCAAAAAGGATAATATTTTCTCTCTTTTCTATATATCTAAGAATGCCCTCCTCATTTACAAATAATAACCACTCTTAATATAGTGGGAGATCCCTTTTTAGATATAATTAAAAATACATAGTGGAGATCTGATAATAGATTAATTAATTAACTTTTCCTTGATTCAAGCCGTGACTTCCGCCGAGATTCTCTCCACAAAAGCAGCTATAACAGCTCTTTTATTTCTTGGCTCGATCTCGCTCTTAGCCGATCTCAATCTTGATCGGTCCCTGGGTCTCGAGCTCGATTTTAACTCGATCTCGATCTCGATCTTGATCGGTTTCGGTATTGATCGGTCTCGATATTGGTCGGTCTCTGGGGCTTGAGTTCGACAGCCTAACTTCGTATCATGGCTCGATATTATAATAATGAACTTTGGGCCATCATGTTCCGATCTCGATTAGTCAAACGAAGGGCAGACTCGGTTTTGACCGTATACAATCATCATTAAGTTCAAGCATCCCAACAATCGGTTTGCCCCCCAAAAGCTCCAATGAGGCAAACCCTCCCGTTGAAACATGGCTCATCTTGTCCGCAAGCCCCAATTTTTTAACAGCCACTACAAAAAAATGGTGAGTTTGCAGAAGTTTAATTGCGGCGGTTATTGTAACCTCCGCAATTTATATCAAATTGGGGGTTTATACGACCCCCACAAATATATTATATTTGCGGCGGTCAATAACCTCAGCCAAACTTTAAAAAAAAAAAGCATACTCACCCCAATTTTTTCCTCTTTTTTGATCCTTTCCCTCTTTTTTCCCAAACCCCTCCCTCACTTTCACTAAAGAGAAGCTTTTCAGCTTCCATTTTCTTTCACTTGAAAAATTAAAACCCTCACTTGAAGATTAAACCCTCACTTGACAAATTCACAATACGTTCTCCACAATATGAAAGATTAAAAAGTTTTTTGACCGTTCAATTACTTGGGTTCACGCTTGGACCGTCACTGATGCAAATGTTTTCTTTCTTCCCCATTCTATGAAAGAGATTCACAACGATGAGTTTGATCGTGGGTTCATATCTATGGTAATTCCTCTTCCCCATTCTTTGATTTTGCTTTTCTGTGTTTCTTTCTTCTTGCATGTGGGTTTTAGGTTTATTTTCTCTGTTAATTTGTGTTTTTCCTTAACTGATTTTTCCCCTAATTTGTGGCTTTTCTGTTTTACGATTCTCTAGTGAGAGTAACAACAATTTTTGTTGAATCGGTGTATTTTGAAGAAGTATATAACAATCTCTTTTGAATTCGAGATGTAAGACTTCTTTCTCCTTCTGCATTAGGTATTTTAGGTTGTAAAATTTAATTTTTTCGGTATTTTTGTAGATTAATTTCTGCGGTTTTGGGTCTACTTAATTGAAATATTTCCTCTTGCATGTGTATTTTAGAACTCCCGAGGACCTTCATAGAAGACGCAATTTCCACTAGCTGCTATTCCTCTTTCTGCTCTACATGGTGCTTGAATCAATCTCAAGGTACAAACAAATTTTTAGTTTTCTTCGTAGTGTTGAATATTAATTTTTTTTCTTTCTAGGTTTGTAATACAAAACGTGCAGACAATAGATTAGGTTGCCTGAGCATCAATTCTTCTTTCTTTCAAAAGGCTAATGAATCAATAACATATTTTCTATTTTATTTGTCAAGTGATGAGGAATATATTAGACTGATATTAGCAGACTGATATTATCAGTTTATGGGATTTGGTTAACAAGTAATTACATATGTATTGCAGTTATTTTAGTTGTGATCGTTCATAACATTATTAACATATATCATATTTGCAGTTTTCTATTGGCAATTTGACTTCATCTTCATGCCTTCTCTTCTGTGGAAGAAATTCTTCTTTCTTCATATTCTATTTTTGTTTTGGTTTGGAGGTATATGAGCAGTCAATTCAATTGTTAACATGAATTTATTTGTAACCAATGAGCTTGCACAATGAGAATCTGAATTAGTCAGATCGTTAACTTCAAAATCATATGATTAAAGGAAAAATGAACCATTTTCCGATACTTTATTGAATGCTCTTGACATATAGAATAGATCTGATCAAACTTACTTTGCTATTACAAAATTTTGATATGTTAACTAATCGATTACAAACAATTGGATTGGATTTGCTATTTTTCTTCTACCATTTATTGTCATTGTTCAAATGAGGAATATATTAGAAGCTTCTAATATATCAATAATATTTGTCACTGATTCTTATAGAATTGAATATTCTTATAACATTGGTCATTAAGAGTGTGTACGATTAGTGCCTCTGTATATGTGTTGTTCGGCAAATCTAATATTTTATACCTATCGTTACTCCTATTTATAATTTGACGATTGATTTCCTCCTTTCTTTAATGCTTGAGTTGTTTGTTCTCTTCTTTGCCGTTTCATATCAAAACAAAGTAAAAATAATAGTTCCAACTTTTACAGTATTGGAGGAGGGGCCAGCTCCACCTAGATAATGAAACTTGCTTGCTTTACATAGATAATGAAGTGCTTGCTTGCTTTTATTATCTTCTTTAGGATTGTTTGTATTATCTTTGTGCTAAACACTGTTTTGATTCCTACACTAAAATAAACTAGATAATATTTTTGTCGTTCTTATTATTGCATATATTTTGTTGCATATACTAGAGAGCCATAATTCTCTTAACTAAACTATAAAATATCAGTAAACTGCCATCCTATATAATTATCAGAACTTCAACTTCACTTTTTATTATCTTACAAAATTTTATAATGTTATCGCATTGATAAGTTATTAAATCATCCTTTCTCAAGGAAATATCGTAGGTTATAGTAATTAATCTTGCTCGGAGAAGTCATTATCGGTGACACACTAATCTTATTGCGGATCAGTTTCACTTCTGAAAGGTTATATATCAGTCTGTTCCAATGGATAAATCTTGAATTGGAATGCCTAGAAATACAACAAAATATTTACTTGGTTTAAATCAATTTCTAAATTTTGCACTTAAGAATGAAGCTATAGGAGATAGAATAAGCATAGTGGACGTGTGTCTACGCAACATTGGACTGTAGATGCAATAGGTATGTTATTGCCATCAACTATATAGCAGAAAGATTGTTATATTGTAAGTCAAGAAAAATAAGAGAGGTGGATTGAGTAAAACTTTGTGGGATTCCACCAGACAAAGAGTTATTAACTTAGATTAAGCCTATTTTAGCAACAGACTGCTTCATTTTTTCAATTGACTTTGAGAAATGACCGGATTTACCTGTGACAATCTTCAACCGTTGTTATGATCGATTTATAAAGGTATTACTGAGGCATACAATATCTCTGTTTTATGTCATTAGATTGTATATTTGCATGTAATAATTATCTAACCATTAGTTTATTCTTGAAGCCTCGATTTTGTTTTAGGACAACTGAGTCAAATGCAAGACGATATGTTTATAATTCTATGTGTAAGAACTGGGGCGCAAAAAGGCTAAAGTTGTTTGATAAGGCCTATGATCCACTTAAGAGCAGAGCTGAGATAATGGATAGTGTTCCACTGGGGATTCCACCGGATCAATGGATTTCTTATGTTGATTATCGCTTTAAAGAAAAAACACAGGTATTTCTTTCAATGTTTCAATTAGTATGTGTAATTATATGGCTTCACTTTAACCAATCTGTGGTTGCTTCCTCTACTTCCATATCAAATTAATTTCACCTTGTGAAGTTCTTACAGTATCTGGATTATAGAAAACAACAAAGTTAGTAAGTTAAAGATCAATTAACAAGTATTGCTTTTTAAAAAGTCTTCACTTCACAATAACATTAGTTTTTGCTTGAGCTTATTTTCATCAACGAACACAATTAAAGACTGAAGAAAGTCAGCGCCACAAAAACTGAGAGATAGAGTAAGGTGAGTAAATGAGCTAGTAATATACCTATAGAGCTGTCACTACACACTTTCTACTCCGCCCCTCCACTCTAAAAAAACAAATAACAAAACCATTGGTTCCTTTGGGCAGCAGCAGCTGTTTCCCTTCATTTAAGAGATTATGAGTTTAAAATTGGTATTGTTGGGACGGTTGGTACTGTTGGGACAGTTGAGAGGGCACTTGGTCCTTCTTTGGTATCAAAATGTGATAATTAATGAGATTAAATAAAATATCACATAATTGATACTGTCACAAATCCTTAGTATGATAAATTTTGTGTTACTAACTGCAGTGCCAAAGTTTTATAACAGAAAAAGATATTATTTTTCTATTGTTTTTCTTTTTTAACTTGTCAATCACTGATTGAAGTAAGGACACTGGCTTTTGGTGTGTAATGTATTTAGGAAAAAATTGAACTAGCATTAAGCCAAAGCACCGTGGATGAGTCTGAAATTTCGCCATTTTGTGTTGGGAAAAGAGCACTCTGGAAGGGTAAGGTGCTTAGGATTAGGAGCTGTTCCTGGCAGGGCTTTTAGACAAACAAGACTTCGTTACAGAGAAATGATGAATGTTAACACTCAAATGATGAATGCTTTTAAGACGTATATGATAATGAAAGAAGGGAAGATACCTGAAGAATTTGCAGGGATATTTGTTTCTCCTCCTCGTTCAACGGTAATAATAGTTTATAACTTTCTTATTTAATTTTGTAAAGTATGATTGATCAGTCCAAGTATTACTCTAAATTGGGATACCTGAAGAATGCTTTCATGTTTCTTAGATTCACAAATTTCGCAAGTCAATTTAATCTTTATGTTAAATTCACTGTCTATATTCACTGGCAGAGCTTTTAGCATAACTTTATGTTTAACACTGTTAATTCACTGTCTATATTCTCTGATGTTTAAGATGTACTGAGAAAGTTCACGAGTTCTCCTTTTCATGGACTGGGTGAGACAGAAAAAGAGAATATTTGTTTCTTTTGCTTGAATATTCAGTACTATGACTATAAATTTCTCTTTTGCTAAGTGATTATTAGTTAGGATATTGTTGAGGTACTTTTTGTTAATTATATTTTATTTTGATTGTTTTGTAGCCAAGTGATGCGGCTAGCGGATCCATTTCACCCATGGATATAAGAAGATCATCCGGTGGAAGTAATCCTAACGACAACCATTGAAATTGCTTGCAAATGTATTAGATAATTAAGTATCGTACTCGCTTGAATGGTCATAGTAGATCTTTTGTCCATAATGGTTGGAGTGGATGTTCTGTTTAAAGTTAGTTTTAAGACTAATTATAATATTGATGTTTTGTGTTTAATGGTTGGAGTAGTTGTATTTAAAGCAAATTTTTGAGACTAATGATAATTTACTTTAATGTATTTTGTGGTTTATTAATATATTGTTGTTACTTGATTCCAGTAAGCAATTTATATAATTTTTTGATGCTTCATTATATTAATATAATTGGAATTAGAACAGTTATGGAGTAACATTGTAGAAAAAAAAATTTCAATGAATAGCGGAGGTTATAAGTGCCGCTATTTAACCTATAATAATATTGTGTTATAAAATTTGTGGGGAATAAATAAAGAAATTGTGGGGGTTTAGACCTCCGCTATTTTTTTAATAAGTGACAGCCAAACTACCAAATTGCGGAGGTTATACCGCCGTCAAATACCCGCCGCTATATGATAACTACGGTCTGTCAAAAAAAAAAACCCCGCAAATTGGTTGCGGCAAACATTATTGCGGGGGTTTTGGAAACCGCCGTAAAATTATATTGCAGAGGTTTCTGACCGCCGCAATCTGTAAATAAAACCTCCGCAAATTCAATTTTTTTTTTTTTTTGNTCTTCAAACTACACCAGAAAAATAATCATTTAAATAAGATCTTCATTTATACCGTTGTTCCAGCTGTCTCAACTGTGACTAATACTTTCTTCCCCCTCAGATCTTCTTACTCCATATATAACTACGAACAAATCCCTTTTTACGACAGGGGTTTCAGTTTTAACCCTTTTTTCCGTTCGCGAAAAAATCCATTTTCATGAAGCCCACAGCCTCTTTTCGAAACCCGCAGCATATATTCTTCTGCAACTTTCTCACAGTTATATTTAAAAAGAATAAAATTAAAATAAGATCAAAAATCACAAATTATAGTTTGAATTCTTTCTTATATACTAGCTTTAAAATGCACGCTTTAAAGTGCGTGCATTGCGCGTGTTCTTCGTATCAATGAATATAAAATTTTAAAAAATTATACAAATATTATTAATCTATGTGATGAGTTATAAAATAAAAATTTTAAAGCAAAAGCTTAATAAAGACTATTGATCCTGTTTAACCAACTTAATAAAAAGAATTATATCATGCAAAAGTATTCTAATGCCGTTACATAACTTCGACATATGAGTTGTGCATTTACTTTAATAGCTCTAATAGAGTAGAATAATATACTGACTTGTCAAATATCATGGAACTATACTATTATCTCATAACCTTAAGAAAATAAATTCTATTTGCTCAAAGTACCTAATATAAATTTCATGTTATCCTTTTGAACTCAAATTGAAGAATACGAAAACAATAAAATACTCCATATATTGTTAGATATAATTATCATACAAACAATTTTATTAGATTAGTAATATTTAAATTCAACAAAAACATTTCCAGAATTAAATAAAATTAATTAAATCAAATTATTATATCATTATCATATGAGTTAAATTTTTTGTTAATGTACTCAAATAAGTTAAATTATTTACATTGTTAGAGTATTATTTAGCTGCTAAATCCTAATGTAAGATCTGGTATTGGAGTGCAAACCCATAATCAGACATTCGTAGACAACTCTTAAATAGAAAATTATAATTTGAGATTTTAACTAATATAAAAATATGTTTGTACACTTTTTATTTCGGTTATATATACTAAGGTCTCATTTGTTTGCACTTAATAATGATCTGAATCTTAATCATTCAGATCTCACACATTAAGTGCATTTGTTTTTTAGATCTAAATCTGAATTATTCAGATCTTGATCATTAAGTTTGTTTATTTTTTTAATATCACAATCAATTAATGGGTCTGAATGATTAAGATCCATAACAAAAACTTAATTTCATTAAGATATTACTGTCCAGATTCACAATTAATTACTATCACTGTCCACCATTATCAACTACTACCATGCACCACCCACCACCTCCATACTCAACCATCACCACCAACCACCAACATCATCAAGTATAATCGTCACTATCATCATTATTGACTACCACCAGTCGCCACCTCACCATTATTGACTACCACCACTCACCACCCCCCACAATTATCAACTACCACCGCCACAACCACCGTCATCATCAACCACAACCATCCACCCACTACCTCAACAACCCCCACCCCCACCACTATTGTATTGATCCAACCGGTCATTTTGACTTTAGAACCTCGTTCCCCTAAATAAAACTCCTCGTATGTGATTTTACTAATTTATGACTTGCGGGGACGGTTGGTTCGGAATTTGGAAGTGTTCGGGTTGAAATCGGAACACTTGGTTTCTTAGTTTGGCTTTAAAAGGTCAAGTTTGACTTCGTTCAATATTTTTAGAAAACGACCCCAGAATCAGTATTTGACGGTTCCAATAGGTTCGTATGATGATTTTGGACTTGGGCGTATGTTCGAATCGGGTTTTGGACGACCCGAGAGCGTTTCGACGCTTAATAGTGAAAATCTAACTATTTAAGGGTTTAAGGTTCTTTAAATTTGGTGTGGAGTAGGTTTTGAAGTAATTGAAGTCCGTTTGAAATTCCGAGCCTGAGAATAGTTCCGTATGGTGAGTTAAGACTTGAACGCAAAATTTGGTATCATTCCGAGTAGTTTAAGTATGTTTCGGCGCGTTCGGAGTAAGTTTGAAGAATTTGAAATTTCTAAGTTGAATCAATTTGGTTTAGGGTATAATTCTTAGTTTTGATGTTATTTTACACGTTTCGAGGATTCAAGCAAGTCCGTTTTATGATTTCAAACTTGTTGGTATGTTCGGGCGGGGCCCCGGAGGCCTCGGGTGTTAATCGGATGAGGCTCAAACCAAGTTTGGACTTGGAAAGGACTGCTAAAGCTCTCGGCTTCTGGTATAACCGCACCTACGCATAAGCAGCCGTAGGTGCGAGCCACGAGTCGCAGGTGCGAAGAAGGGGAGGGCAGGCCATGCACCGCATGTGCGAAATTCTTGGGGGCACCTGCGAGCACGTAGGTGCGAAGGAGAAGGCGCAGAAGCGGAAAGGGCGCAAGTGCGAAGGCTTTGGTCGCACCTCCGGACGCGCAGAATCGGCCCCCTTGACCGCAGGTGCGAAGCCAGGCCAAAAGGAGAAATGCGCAGCTATGAGGATTTATCCGCAGGTGCAGTTGTACCTCCGCAGGTGCGAATAGGGCTGTTGGACAGAATGTTAAAAGAGGCGAGGCTTAGTCATTTTTTTGTCCGTTTTTCTCCATTTTTGGGCGATTTTGGAACTTTTTGAGAGGGTATTTCAACTAGAAACTTGAAGGTAAGTTAATTCTACACACTTTGAGTTAAATACATAGATTATGGGTAGATTATAACCGAAAAATCTTGAAAATCAAGGGTTTAGATGAAAAAACTAAATTTTTATAAAAATGAGATTTTAACCACGAAAATGGTTATGGAATTGGATGGAAATTGTATATTTGAGTTCTTGAGATTATGGGTAACGATTTTCTCCGAATATTTCTGGAATACGGGTACGTGGGCTCGGGATGAATTTTAGAAATTTTACCATTTTGGATAGGGTAATTTATTTAATAGTCTAATTTTGAATTATTGTACATGTATTTATTATTTTATATAACTTTTGGATAGTTTCGAATTTTTCGGCATCAAATTGAGATTTTTACGTGATATTTTGATCGGAAAGTGGACTTTGAGACAATGTAAGTCTCTTATCTAACCTTGTAAGAGAAAATTTACCCCATAGGTCATTTAAATTAATAATTATTGCTAATTGTGGGGATCTACGTACGCACGAGGTGATAAGAGTCTATGCATAGCTACTATTATTGCTAAGTACGGGTAGTTTAGGACTCAAATCATAAATTACGTGTGATAATTGTATCCTTTATTTAATTAAAGTATTGGAACTGTATTGTAAATTGTTAGAAAAATAGTAAAAGACTGAAATTTCACGTACTTGAATTTTTGTGAAAAAGCTTTAACTATTAAATTGAAATTTGTACATCCTCTTGTATTAATATTATAATATATATACTCTTATTCCGGAGATACATAAGAAAATGTCCTCCTTTCTTGTGGAGCGGGCCGAACGCCTCGACAGTATAGATGCATCTATGGATCGTGCCGCACGTCCCTCGGCAGTGTACATGACACTCTGGATCGGGCCGAACAACCTCGGCAGACATCGTGCCTAATAATAATAATTACACGATACCTTGCTATTTTATTGCAGCTTGTGAAGTTAATTAATAAATTGGAAATTATTGCAATTGAAGGAATTTAATTATTTCTGATGGTTAAAGAAAATTATCGTTAATCCTATAAATTATTTTGATTTAAATATTTCTATTTCTATTTTATTTATTATTATTTACCCTTAGTAAGTGTCAAAGTCGACCTCTTGTCACTACTTCTTTGAGATTAGGCTTGATACTTACTGGGTACACATTGTTTACGTACTCATGCTACACTTGCTGCACTTTTTGTGAAGGATCTGAGACAAGAGTTTTTGGTGGTCCTACCGGAGCGCATCCACGATACCCCGAGTCCTAGTGGTGAGCTCCCTTTCTGAGTTCTGCTGCAGCAACTAGTGCCTCTCCTTGTATTTTTATTCTGTCTATTTGTTTCAGACAGTATTTAGAAATCTTGTATAATCTACTAGATGCTCATACACTTGTGACACCAGGTCTTGGCACACACTAGTAGAATTTTGGATTTAATCATTTTCTTGGTTTTTAATTTTCTAGATCTTTTATGTTTTCTTAATTCTTGCATGTAAGAAGAGTTTAATTACTCAGATAATTTTTAAAGAATTGAATAGGTGTTTAAATCTCTAGTTGGCTTGCCTAGCTGTGATGTTGGGCGTCATCACGATCTATAGGTGAAATTGGATCGTGACAACATGGTATCAGAGCCCTACGTTCACGTAGGTCTCACAACTTATGAGCATGCCTAATAGAGTCTTGTGGATCGGTATGAAGACGTCTGTACTTATCTTCGAGAGGCTATAGGGTGTTTGGAAACTACCTTTTTTCATCTTCCATCGTGCAATTGATATAATACTAAATATCTTTCTATTATTCTCTCACAGATGGTGAGAACACGCTCTAATAAGGTTCTAGACCAGGGAAGAGCTACTTCCCCA